AATTTTTTGGTTTCGTGAACGCGATCTTCTCGTCTAGGAGGGCGCCAGACGTCATACACCTTAATGACTTTTATTAAGGATCACTTTGCCATTGCAGACTCTTTTGTTGATTATTTTGAATCGGTGTACTCAGTGTCTAGTGGTCCCCAAGCTGATGTAAAGTATGAGCATGACCTATGCCTGCTTAATATCAACATCTCAATAGGTGAAGTTTTTAATGGGATTGAGGAATTGCATTTAAATTCATGTCCGGATAACGACGGTATCCCCTCATTGCTTCTGAAGTTGTGTAAGTTCATTATGGCAAGAGTGCTATGGTTGCTTTCTGTAAATTCTTTAAACTCGGGGACTTTTCATCTCAATGAAAGTTATGCATTGTTACTCCTGTATTTAAGAACGGTGATAGGTTTCTAGTTGCGAATTATAAACCGATAAGCAAGCAGAGTTTAATACCAAAGATCTTTGAAAACACCATAGCGCATAAACTCTCGTTACTTTTTAACAAATTTAATTTTAGAAGAACAGCATGGGTTTATGCCTGGTCGCTTGACATCGACAAATCTGCTTATCTATCACGATTATATTAATTCGATATTGGAGCATGGCTCTCAGGTGGATGCTGTGTAAATGAACTTTAGTAAGGCGTTTGATACGGTAGATCATCCTCTATTAATTCATAAATTGCGTCTATATGGAATTGAGGGAGTTTTGCTTAAGTGGCTAACGAGTTTCATTGTAAATCGATCGCAAGTGGTTGAATTTAATAATGCTTTTTCTAGAAAAATTAATGTTACATCTGATGTACCGCAAGAATTACATTTGGATCCGCTTTGTTTAATATTTTTATTAATGATATTAACTTCATTTTTAAGCACTCTAAATTTTTGCTATTTACGGATAATCTGAAGATATATAGTCGTGTGGATTGTGTTGGGGAAGCTGAGTATATCCAGAGTGATCTGAACCGTTTAGCAGATTAGTACTGTATTAATAAATTGAAATTGAACTTATCAAAGTGCTATGTAATGCACTTTAGTAAAAAAAGAATAGTACATGTGCGTGAGTATTTCTTAAATGGGGTGGTCCTTTCTAGGATCGACTGTACTTGTGATCTCGAGGTGGAATTTTATTCCAATCTTCCTTTTACGAGACATATTAATAGCGTTACAAGTCGTGCGTCTAAGAAATTGGCCTTTGTATTGCGAGTTAGCAAATATTTTAAAAATGTATTGACTTTGAAACTCTTACATTCTTCATTAGTCAGGCCGCATCTGGAATATGCAGCTATTGTCTGGTTTCCTTATCAGACGAAGTATTTCAAACTTTATATCAAAGCATATTTCTTATTTCAAACATTTCAGTTTATTTTTTTTTATTAAAAAAAAATTTTTTAATTTATTTTTTATTATTTAATTTTATTATTTAAACGTTATGACCTTGTTGGGAGCAAGCGGGAGCGTTTTTTTTAATTAGTTATTATTTATTTTTTTGTTTTTGTTCTTTTTTATTTTAATTTTTTATTTTTGTTTTTTAATTTTGTTTTTTTTCTTTTTAGTTTTTGATTTTTTATTAATTGTTTCTTTTGTATTTTGTTCTTTTTAATTTTTAATTTTTTTAATCTTTGTTTTTTTCTTTTCTTTTTTTATATATTATTATTAATCATAATTATAAATGTAAATACTCTTGTAACACAATTATATCTACGGAGACAAATATATGAACTGCCATTGCCATAATTATGGCTACAGAAGATTATAGATATATATATAATAATTAAATATAAATAAATACAAATATTCTAATTTTTATACTATTGTTAATAATTATATACGTGAATAATCTTCTGTAGCCATAATTATGGCAATGCCAGTTCATATATTTGTCTGCGTAGGCATAACTATGTCTACAAAATAGTATTCATATATAATTATTACATATATAATTATTATTAACAATAATATATAAATAAGAATGTTTATATTTATTTATTATATACAGGGTGATTCACGTAACGGTCGCCACAATTTTTGGGACATTTCCGCCAGTTTAAAAGAAGTTCATACAGTAAAACTTAATCTGCTTTACGCAAGCTATAACATGCAATAAAAAAATTTAAATAGTATATTGTGCAACCGGCGCGCGAAAAGTCGCCCTTTTCGCACATGATGGAATTTTAGAAAAGGCTCTCTTTCCACGCACCGGTCACACAAAATATCGTAGTTAATATGTGCGGGTCATAAATCGGCCGATCGTGCGGATTGTTGTTACACTCGGTTTTGCCTCGTGCGCCGAACTTCCGCACTCTCGGTCGATTTACGATCCCCCGCACTTGTTAGCTAATAGTAATAGAGAGTGCGGAAGTTCGGCGCACGAGGCGAAGCCGAGTGTGACAATCCGCACGCGATCGGCCGATTTATGACTCGCACATGTTGGCTACAATATTTTGTGTGACCGGTGCGTGGAAAGGGAGCTCTTTCTAAAATCTCATTATGTGTGTAAAGGGCGACTTTTCGCGCGCCGATTGCACAAAAAATTTTTTTATAAACAAATTAGTCACTTTGAATTTTTTAAATAGAACCATCATATTTTTTTACACAAATTGATTTTTCACAATATTCTGCATAAAAAAATTATAAAAATAGGATGGTCAAAAAGTGAATAGTTTACGATATATTTTATATTTTAATGTTATAAAGATGGTCCTCGTAACGATTGCTACGATTTTTAGGGCATTTACAATAATCTGACAAAAAATGTCATTATTCAGAATGGAGGAGGGCTAATAAGGTTGATTTTTGGGTCCCAAAACGTCGCACGTTTTTGATCGCATATCGCATATTTGTATAGTTGAGGTCGAGAGTTTTCTAAAACACCTTATGAAAAGCTTTTTACGTTGGGGAAAGTGAAAGTTATAAGTCCTCAAAGTTAAAGAAACACGCACATATGCATGAAGTAGACTGCTTTAATTGTGTGTGTGTGTGTGTGTGTGTCTGTGTGTGACATATTGAAAATATATACATGTATTTGTTATTTTAATCTCCTCTTTTTAAATACAAGCTTGGAACTGTCAATGGCAGAGTTACTTTTTTGGTTTTTTAGAGTAATTTTTAATTTTTTTGTTTTTTATTTATTTTGTTTTTTTTTCGTCATAAATATATTTTTTGCGCATTTCTTGTGCTGAATTCGACGGCATTTAAGAAGAGCCTTAGTTTGATGATTCTTCTTCATTTGTCCAACATGAAGAAGCATGGCCAATTTTGAAGTTAATCCGCATACTTCTACTTAAGCAGTCGTTGCAGAAATGGATATATCACATTGTTAATTTTGAATTAAAATGTAACATAAAGTAACATTGTATGCAATTATTAAATTATTGTTATTTCTGATTAATGACATTTTTTGTCAGATTATTGTAAATGCTCTAAAAATCGTGGTAATTGTTGAAGCACCTTTATAAGTATAAATAAATTGAGAGTGTCAAACAGGCAATAAGAGCCAAATCGCGGATGACAGTGCGTTATCCCAACAAACTAAATTTTTTTGTTAGGATAAAAACCTGTGCACAAGGCACTAAATTTTACTTGGACACGGCCAAGATTTAAAATTGGAATAATCTCTACAAGAGATTTAATTTTATACATCCCCTGTTCCCCCCTTAAGGAAATAAATGCGAGAGAAAAATATAGATCCGAAAGTCGCTTTTAAAAGGGTTTGAATAGCTTAGTATTTTTTGGTAAAAGCAGTCGCCCGGAAAGTGAAAGACGCGGGTTCGATTCCCGCTTCAGCGACTTTTCGGACCTATATTTTTCGCGCCTATTTCTCCATATGTAAGTTTCGAGATTAATTTATATATAGAACTTTGTAATCTCTCAAACCAAGAGATACAGTTCCGAATAATTAATTTTTCGTGCTTTGGCTCTGTTGGCCGATTTAGAAAACGTCATATAAAAAGAAAACTTGCAATATTATTGCAATATTATTGTAAGTTTTCTCTTTACTCAAAATATTTTTGCTCTTATATATAAAGCATTTTTTATATCTTTAATAGTATCCAATAAAATTAAATTTGAATAAAAACCTCTTATAATATTGTTAAATAATATTATTTTTATTTATTAAACTCGTATTGCTTTATTATAAACATAAAAGAATAAACTTAACACATAGTATATGTAGATAAATCTAAATTTGCAAGCGTATTGTGTTTCAAAGATTAAAGAAGAAAATATTATATATATATATATATATATATATATATATATATAAAAGATATAGTATATAATTAAATTGTAATTTTGAAATGAAAAGTAAATATGATTTTGAAGTAGTAGTAAAGATAAATAAGTTAATATATGCGTCTATATACAGGGTGTCTGATATAAAGTGTCACACCGATAATATACAAGTAGATCTTGTCATTTGAAAACGATTTTTCCTCAACAAAATGTCAAAGGTCATCATTTTTTGCATGTTTCTAATTTTTGCCATCATGTATCTTTATAACTAACCTTATATTAAAATTTTATTAAAGTAAACTCTACTTGAAATTAATTGGATAATGTGATTTTGTTAATACTTTATTTCTACAAGCCTGAGTTTGCGAAAAACCCTTTATTTTTAATCGCTTATAACTTGAAAATGATTGACGTCTCAAGATTTTTACTGAAGAAAAATTGTCTCCAAATAACAACATCAACCTGTATATTTTCGGTGTGACATTTTATGTCAGACACCCTGTATATCATATGTATTTTCAACTTTAGCAATTGCACAAAATGACTTCAGGCTAGCGTAATAATAATGTCAGGTCATCACCCATGTTGACCGCTTTGATGATAGTTATTGCGACGATTACATTACATATATTAGATACAATAGAACAATTAAATGTATGAGCTGTACTATACAAATCACACAAACACACGAAATGAATCTGAGAGGGAAATCGCATGTAACCTGCAAACTGTACATACATTTGATGCAAGTAAAAGTTATGACAGTTTACATTTGTCTGCGATCGGATGTAGATTGTTGTTCGTTTATATGTTTTATGTTTATTGGAAAAGGTGCGAGATTTTGTGAGGTAGTGTAAAAATCTCTTTCCGAGTCTACTGATCAATTATTTGTTATTAAAGTAAATCTAGTTTATTCGTAAAATGATTAAATCGCAATTTTATGTGATTTTTATGATTAAATGATTTAATAATTATAATTAAATGATATAATAATTAAAGTTAATTAAAGTTATAAAAATATAAATATCTTTTTAAAAGACAGATTTATAATTTGTTACTAACTAAAGCAGAACAATTGAATAAAAGTATTTGTTGATGCTATAAAATTGGCATTGCTTTTTTGGCAAAATTGAAATTAATTATTATGGAATTTAAAATATTTTTTTATATTTAAAAATTTTAAATTACTTTCAACAAATAAAGGCTAATACCCATATTTTGAGCTTACTTTTTTCGTTAAATATGCATCTAAATGTGCTTTATTATTAGATGACATGAAAAATATGACGGTATTTTAAACGCACATTTAATGGCACATTAAGAGACAAATCATCATTTTTAGCATAAATATACGACTTTGTAAAAAAATTTTGAACTACACATATTTATGCCATTCTCAATAAATGTGATCAAGGGTGTATGTATATTTGTACATACATTTTTTTTACGTAATAGCAGTGCATTGTACCTGATGCTTTGCAAAATTGATTTTATTAATAAAATTATTGTAAATCCCATTCCTGCATGTAAGTAAATAATGAAAATATTATATACAATAATATTAATGATATTTAGTCAATTCTGAAATTTATTTTTCTAAAAGCACAATATAAATAAATGTATAAAGTAGTAATAGTAAATATATAAAGTGAAATAAAGGATGTATTTTATTTTCACTTCGAATGATTTATTATTATAGAATGAAGAATCTGACTTTAGTTGTATTATTGTTATTATGAAAATAACGTAAAAATTACCGACTTTTTTATCCTTATTTCGACCTAAAAAACAATTGCATAGTATAACAAAATTAATTCTTCATGTTTTTTTTACTTTTGAGTACCCTGAATTTGACAAAAAAATCGACAAATGGCTATAAGATTTTTTTGCGCTTTTAAATGTGCCGATAAATGTAAACACAGAATAAAAGCTTTATACTTAAAATGATCGCACATATAAAATATCAATATTTTTATCAATATACATATATATACGTCAAAAGTCATATTTCTTTATGCAATATACTTTTCTACATGTGCGCGTGCAAATCTATAATATATAAAATAAACTCCTCACAACAATTAGAGGATCACTTTTTCTAAAAAATTGGCAAAATTTAGCTGTAACTTCATTAAAAATAAACCAAATTTAAATTTAAAAAAGGGTTTTAAAGCTTGAAATCCCTATTTTTGAAAGCTACTTTTTTTAAGTTTCCGTAAGTTTGGTAATTTTACATGTAGAAAACTACAAACTGGACGAAATTAGAAATTTTCTTTTTACTTTGCGGATCTACGACGCGTGTGAAAAAATCTACCAAATTTTAAGTACAAGTACATGTACTTAATTGTGGTTTATATTTATACTGGCGGATTGATACATTATACTAAATCAATTAAGACAAGTTTCAATCATTTTTTAAATATGTATGTACATATGTCCATGCATATAAGATAAAAGGATTTTCCGGCAATGAAAAGATTTTTTTTTTAAATGATTACATAATCATAAAAACGACCAATACTGGATAAAGATAATTTCTTTATTGAAATCCAATTAACATGACGTTTCGACCTGTGGTTTAGGTCATTTTCAAATGCAGTAATAATTGAGATGACATACCAAGTACAGTGATGAAAAAACTTATAACATGTCACAAATATAAAAATATAAAAATATAAAAATATTTCAAATTAAAACATTGTGTCTAAACACACGTCTCGAGACGTCTGCATTTGAAAATGACCTAAACCACAGGTCGAAACGTCATGTTAATTGCATTTCAATAAAGAAATTACCTTTGTCCAGTATTGGTCGTTTTTTTTTTATGATTACATACTTAATTGTGGTATACATATTTAATCTAATCAACTGATTCGACGAAACAGTTTATTGAATATGTAATTGTTTGTGATATTATTGCAATGTTTACTTACTGATTCAGCATTTTGTATATAGGATTTAATTACTTGGATATATAGCAAAATGGTTGTGGATAATTCAAAGGTAAATATAAAAATAGTCGCGCATATACATACGCACACAGACAAAGGATGTATAAAACTTAGTTCACTTTGGATAAAACTAAAGTCGCCAACATCTTATTATAAAAAGTTCAATAATTTTGAAACGATTAATCCAAAGTGGAAAAGAATATAGTATTTTGGAAAGGTTTCAAGAGGGCTATAGAAATGTGATATAAAATATAAAAGGTTTTGTTTAATAAATTCAAAGTAATGTCATCCAAGATTAAGCTAAGGCAAATAAAGATCTTTTTAAATTCTGCAACTTTTTTGTCTAAAACATTTTTTATTAAAAGTTACATTTTTCGAGATATTTACCGTCTTGAAACTTTTATACATCCTATGTCAATCATCCTATATCAATATTTTATATATAGGTATAATTTGTATTATTATAATATTTTTATATAATATATCTAAATAAGAATCGATCAATGTAGCATTAAAGATATGCAGATTAAATATTGAAAACGCAAGTTTGCTAGAAAAATTTTCAAAGGTATTATAATTATTTAAAGTAATATATATCTATTATTTTAGAATTTTACTGTAGAAATAATGTTTACAAAGGAAAGTAACGTCTTATACTGCTAGTTATAAGACCTTGGAGAAATGATATGGACTAAGATAAAAGTCATGGAGATAAAATTGCACATGTAAGTCAGTCTTTACGTATAATATTGATATAAATGCAGAGAAAAACAATTTTTTAATACCTATATGTTCTATTATAATAATATATAAAAAGTAAAAACTTGTAAAAAATTACATAAATGGGATATCGTATCAAAGTTCTTACAATAATTCTAACATGATTATTTAATTGCACAAGTTTTTGTTTAGTCTTGAATAAATGTATAATAAAACTGCTAATATTGCGTTCTCAATCTGTCAAAGAATGAAAATATGTATAACTATATTTAAAAAAGCAATATACATGTATTTTAAGATTACTACCTTTTAGCATTAGATTTTCAACGATATTATTATAGATGTGATTTTAAAAAGGAAATTAAGCTTAAAAAATAGAATACATTTGGATAAAATTATGAAAACTAAGTACAAATTAAATATTATGATATTTTTATATTTTTAGCTTCCCATAAACAATAAAACATAAAATATATGCATATACATATATATATAAACATATATATATGTATAAACAATTATTATACAAGTAATTTTGTACAAATAATGGATTTTACAATAAATATAAATACTCATAAGAACCTACACCAAATATTTCAGATGTCTAATGCCTTATATATTAAATAGTTAATTTAATATAGTCAATGTATAGGCATTTTATTATATTTACAAAATTTGCAATAGAAATTTAATAACATTCGAAGTATAATAGCAACAATATTGTAGTTGGATGCACTCACAGAAAATGTGGTCACTTATGCGGAGTTGCAAGACAAAGTCGTGAGATGCGCGCTGTGGTTGCAAAAACAAGGAATTAAGTCCGATGATGTTGTCAGTTTATGCACCAGTAATCATCTGAATTCAATTGTACCTTGCTTGGCGGTAATTTACATTAATGCGATTATTAATCCATGGAACGAGAGTATGGACTTACGTAAGTCTTTTTTCGCGATAAAAGTTCACTGCCAACAAATATTTTAAACAATAAGGTGTTTTTTATAGATTTTGGATGCTGAAAAATGAAGCTCTAAGCATATTTGACAAACACGTTAGGTTTCTGAAATAATTGAGGTTTAATATACAGAAAATTGCTTTTTGCGATATTTGAGTTTTTTTGTGAAAAAAGTTAATGTTATCTGAAAATTTTAATTAGATGTTATGAACGTATTCTTCAGTTCTCTATAAAATGCATTCTTTGTTTATTTTGCTGTTTTCTTATTTAATTTAAATTTAAATACAAAGTTTTGCTGAGATAACAAATTTTTGCCTATGGTAATGAAGTCATGTAATTAAAATGGTAATAATTTTATCAACCATATCATCATGTAATTAATTCATTATTTGTAGTTTACGATTAACGATACATATATACAGTGTAACTTATAGTAATAGAATCCACTAATGTATATTTATATATATAATGTCTTATTTTAATTGCTTACCGTGAATTTTTGAAACAAATATATTTTCGAAAAAATGTTTTAGACAAAATTGTACGACTTAAAGAGGAAAAAATGATAAAATTAATTTAATAAAAATAATTTTTTTATAGAAAACCTTTTTTCTTTAAAAACATCTTTATATGAGAAATAGTTTCCAGTTTTAATTTTTATATTGTTGCCATGACAAAAAAATAATTTTTTGCGTAAACCTCAATTATTTTGAAAACCTGACATGCTGGTGAAAATTGATTTGCGGCATTATTTTAGTATTCAAAAATCTATAAGAAACACCTTGTCTGATTTAGAATAATAAAAAAATATTCTTTATAAACTAGTGTAATTAATAAACAATTAAAAATATTTTTTTAAACTAGTGTGTGATTGATAGACTATTACATTCCATTTGATTAATGTTTAGAGAATTTCAATGTAATTTCAGTAGCAGTACACACACATACACACGCACATACAATATAATTTGTTTAATTTTTTATTATTTACATATGTAATGATATTTTGTATTATTTATGTAACGATATCTAACGTAGCATGTATGTTACTCATTGTCAGTGATTTAGTGATGTATAGCTTTAATTATTTAATAAGATAATTTCAATGTAATTTCAATATAATTGCAATGACAGCACATGTACACATACACACATTTAATGCATTAAAATACAATTAATTTTTTATTATTTATGCAATGATATTTTTCTATAATTTATATAATAAATATTAATGAATTTAAGGTATATTTATGTCATTTTAGTGATTTGTTTTATGTAGCTTTAATTAATTAATGTGCTATTTGTCGTTAGAAACCGCATTACATGTCATGCAACTGACTACTCCGAAAGTAATTTTCTGCAGCGAGAAATCCGCGAACGTTATCTTTAGCGCGATGAAAGAGAGCAACTGTAATCCCAAGTTGTAGTTTTCGGTGATCATCCTGACGCCATCTCGTTTTCCGACATTTTGAGCATGTACAGCGACGCGGAAGTGGCAAATTTCCGGTTCGTCGAACTCAACGACATCAAGAAAACAGTGTGCATTATGCACTCATCAGGCACTACAGGGATGCCGAAAGGCGTCGAAATGTCCAATTACTGTCTCTTACGTATTAGTGAGGATAATAATCTGGATATGACCAATGCGGTGTCAATTTGGTTCTCGTCACTCTATTGGATCAGCGGAATATTAATGAACCTAAAATCGATCGTGCAGGGCGCCAAAGTGATCCTTTATCCGGAATTCGATGAAGAGATGACGTGTATACTGATCGAGAAATACAATGTAAGAATCATAAGCTAAAAAAGGACACATTCGGGCAAAATTTATCTTATTTTAAAACTCTTTATTAAAATTATAAACAAATATTTTAAATTTCTGTCCTTTTGATTTAAAATTAAAAACATTAGTAATAATTGTATAATATAATAATATAATAACTTTAAAATAATTTAAGAAATAATAATTTTTAATAATATATTAGATTTAATAATATATTAGATTTTTACTAGAGATATTTTATAATAATGATGTAAATAGAGAACTTGTCATTCTAAGTTAAAAAAAGTCATTAATTTTTTATAAAGTTCATTTATCTTATCTTTATCACAGCTCGTTCATTTTATCTACGAGACTTTTTCCATTAAAATTGCACACAAGGGCAAAAAATTCTAGCAAAAAATCCAGTTATTTTAATATATTTAATATATTTGTTGTTAATTAATTTATATTTAATTTTTATTATTTTAAAATATATTAAAATAACTGGATTTTTTGCTAAATTTTTTATAAATAATGATCAATTTTTACAGTACATCACATAACATACTATTAATGTTTTTCTTATTTAAATTAAATGATACAATTAAGCATATATATAAAACTGGAAATTTATCTTTGTATAAACTTATTCTTAGAAAAATGCTATTAATTTGCTATTAAAAGTAATTTATTATTATCCGAAGATTTGCGTTCGTCAATAAAAATGCCTAGCATCATGATACTTAAATGCTAAAACTTTACAATAATAATAATTTAAACAGCTTTGAGTTATATATACACGCATGTTTGGAAAATATCAAAGACATTGTTTTCTTGCTACTATAATAATATGAATTTATTAAGTAAATTGCATACATACGTTGTACGTTTGTACGTGACTGGCATATTTTATGCAGAAACATGAATCTTTGTTTTTTGATCTTGCCAGGTAACAGTGATTTTTTTAAGCACGAGTATGATAAATCGGTTTCTCAGAGCGGGTTACGTAAAGAAGTATTCATTACCATCTTTGAGAGTTATAATTTGTGGCGGCGCGATAATCAAGCCAAAAGCACAGAAAGAAATGAGATGTATCCTACCGCATGTTCAGATGTTACAAGGTTACGGTAGGTATATCCTAATTTAATAAAATATAAATACTATATCAATATAAAATAGACAAGATAAATATATAATAAGTGAATAAAGATTTATCGTGGATTTATTTCGCGTTTCTAGGAATGACAGAACTCGGTGGAATCGCGACGTTGCAGCTTCCACATCACAAAGATGGATCTTGCGGGACAGTAGCCGAGAATGTGGAAATGAAGGTCGTGGATCAAGAGAATGGAAATGTCCTTGGTCCAAATAATCCTGGAGAATTATGGGTAAAGACAGTGACCATAATGAATGGCTATTACAGAAATCCTGAAGCGACGAAAAGTACTATTGACGAAGAAGGTAAAGAAACTTCTTTCATGTTTGGAATATTAATAATAAATAAATATTTTTTTATATATTATTAAGTATTAATTTATGTAGATAAACTAAATGAACTAGGAGATTATTTTTACATAAAAAATAAACTAAAAATTAATTTTTCTTATAGTATTATTTTTTTATTTATAATATACTTTGAAAAAAACTAAGAGAAATTTTTTTAATTTTTACAAAAATTTATTCTTTTAGTTTATTAAAAAAAATACATTATAAGTGAAAAAATAATATATTATAGAAGGAAAATTGATTCTAATTTCTTAATTAGAAATTCTTATTTTTGTTTACTGGCTAAATCATGTCATTTAGAAAGTTAGCTGATAGTGACGCATTAAAAAAATATTTCTAGAATAAAATAATGTAGAATAATTTGTTTAGTTGAAGTTAAAGAACCTCGCACTAATCATATGGAAAATCTATCCCAATCAAATCAATTGATTTTTTCATATGTTGTGGCTTATGACTTACTGAACAAAAGATATAATGAGCACAAAGCTCAATAATGGACAGTTATCGAGTTATAACCAGTCAAACATGAAAAATTCGGGCTGCCGAATAGTCAAATCTCCGAAAGTATTGATTTTTTGGAAAAATGTTTCAAATAAAAATAGCAGCGTTTTACAAAATCTATTAGTTAGTGACATTATTTTTGAATTTTGAATGACCTTGATGATAACTCTAGTTGTATAGAACGCTCTACACATAACTTTAGCGCTCATTCGTCATTCAAAGTCATTCAAAATTAAAAAATAATGTCAGCAGCTAACAGATTTTGTAAAACCCTACTATTTTTGTTTCAAACATTTTTCCAAAAAATCAATATTTTCCGAGATTTGACTTTTCGGCAGCCCAAGTTTTTCATGTTTGACTGGTTGTAACTCGATAACTGTCCATTATTGTTCTTTGTGCCCATTACATATTTTGTTCAGTAGATCATAAGCTACAACATATAAAAAAACTAATTGATTTGACCGAGATAGATTTTTTATATGATTAGTGCGGGGATTTTTGAGTCATATTTTATCTCTTTATAAAATTTGCCTTTAAACCAGTCAAAAAAGACTTCTTTAATTGAATAAAATTATAAATATTTCTTAAATTAAATAAAATTATAAATTCTTAAATTGAATAAAATTATATATATATATATATATATATATAATATATATATATATATATATATATATTATATTATATTAATATAAATATAAAAATAAATTGTAATTTTTCTAGGATGGCTGCATTCGGGTGACATCGGTTATTTCGACGAAGACGGAGAACTCTTCATTATCGATAGAATTAAAGAGCTCATAAAGTATAGAGGATGTCAAATCTCACCTGCAGAAATCGAAGGTGTTTTGATATTACATCCAGCAGTATTGGAAGTTGCAGTACTATCAGTGCCTCATGAAATAGACGATGAACATCCTATTGCTTATGTCACTAAAATGCCCGGAGCCAAGGTACAATCTTATTAGAAAAATGTGATAAAAATGATAAAATAATAGTTTAGTAATTGGGAAGTTTTGGAGATTATTTAAAAAAATTGTTTTAAATATTTTTATTTATTTATTTTTATAGTATAATTTTGTTTATTATTTAACAAATATTTATTTCAAATTTAACAAGTTTAATATCAAATTTTTTTAAAGCCACAATCTCCACTTGATTCCTCTCGACCAATAGAGCCAAACGCGATGTTATTGACAATTCCCGATTCAGCCGACTTTCGGACCAATATTTTTCTCGCCTATTTCTTTACAGGGGATGTTAAGAGAAGGAACAGGGGGAATTTTTGAGATCCCAACCACAGGATTTAAATTCCTTTTCAAATGTTCTTTCTTTCATAATTGTCGCAATAACATCGCGTTTGGCTCTATTGGTCGAGAGGAATCAAGTGGAGATTGTGGCTTTAAAAATTAAAAGAGCTGACTAAATAAGTATTTTCATTATCAAATTTTTTGTTATCAAACTACTGCGTACTTTGTTAATAACTTTTTAATAAACAATAAACAATAGTAAAACCTTCTAAGAGTTTCTCAGATAACTTTGACAACATATGTCAAGATTATTTAAGCTGAATTCTTTTTTGTCAATATCTACCTTTAACACGATACACAAAATATTTTAAAATATTAAATGTGCTATATACCTGCACAATGTAATCAAATTGTGTGTGTATAGGTGACAGAACAAGAATTAATAGATTTGGTGGCACAAAATATGATGGATCAATATAAACTTCGTGCTGGAGTTAAATTTTTGGATGCATTTCCTTATACAGGTTCAGGAAAAATTGCAAGGAAAGAATTGAGAGCGATGATTAAGAAATTATTCAAATAAAACAACAGCATATATATTTATATTTTCTATAATTACTGCTGTAATTATATAATTATAATTTTTAATTTTTTTTCAATAATTATGCAAATAAAAGTTGTATATTTTAAAAATTAATAGACAAAAATACATGAAAAAAACAATGATTCTTTGTATCACAAAATTTTCCAAACGTATTATACAAATAACTTTTGAAAACCTCATTGGAAGAAGAGAAAGATAGGAACGACAATTTTGAAATTTTATATATGTATATGTATATGTATATATACGGGGTGTCTCAAAATTAATAGTAAACTTATTAATGATACATTCCTGGGATCATTTGGAGATTATTTTTTCTTAGCGAAAATATCGAAAGCGGTCATCATTTCTTGCATGTTTCCAATTTTTGTCACCATATCTTCGTAATTAAGCCTCAAATTAAAATTTCATTAAAGTAAACTCTACATGAAATTAATTAAAAAATGTGATTTTGCTAATATTTTATTTTTCCACAAGGCTTAGTTTGCAAAAAACCCCTTATTTTCAATTACTTATAACTCGAAAATTATTAATGTCTCGACATTTCCGTTGAGGAAAAATCATCTCCAAATTATTTCAAGAATCTAACATTAACAGGTTTACTACTAGTTCTGGGACCTCCTATTCCTGTATATACAGGGTGTTTTATTTTAAGTGATATGGTCGATTATCTCACAAATCAATATAATTATATTGAAAAATATTTCAGACAAAAGTTGCATGGTTTGAAGGGGGACACATGATGGAAATGTGGATTAGACCTTAAGTGACCTTGTCAAAATCAGGTCAGGGTCATAAATGTTTTTAAATGGAAACCTCTATTTTTCATTGCATATTTGTGTAGGTTATCTTAAGAGCTTTTTAAAACCCTATAATAAATTATTTTTTCATGAAGTACTCTTTGAGTTATAAAAATTTGAAGCTAACAGTTTTTTGACATAAAATATAAAATATCTTGCAAAATATTTAGTTTTCGGTAATCATACCTTAATATTTTTATGCACGGAATAATGAGATTAATCAATTAGCGTAAAGAAAACACATAATTGCTTAAAAAAAAATATGTTGCAAATTACATACATCCTTTTTAAATAAAAGCAACTGTGTTTTCTTTATTGATTAATTGGTCTTATTATTCGATGCATAAAAGTATTAAGGTAGATAATATGATTACCGAAAACTAAATAATGTGCAAAGCATTTTACATTTTATGTCAAAAAATTATTAACTTCAAACCTTTATAACTCAAAAAGTACTTAATGAGAATATATTTTATTATAGTGTTTTGGAAAGATCTAGACATTGGCTACAAGAATATGTAATAAAAAAAAGGGTTTTTATTTAAGAAAACATTAATTATCTTGACCTGATTTTGACAAGGTCACTCAAGGTTAAGTCCACATTTCTATCATGTGTCCTCCATCAAACCAACTTTTGTCTGAAACATTTTTCAATAAAATCATTTGCAAGATAATCGACCATGTCACTTAAAATAAAATACCCTGTATACTCGACCAAGAAAGCGGTACACTTGAAAAAAATTAACACAGTAAAAAATTATGAAAGTTCAAGAATTTATAACTCAGCTGATAATTATGATATCAAGATGTTTAAAAATCGAAAAACGAAATAAAGCTTGAAGTTTGTAGTTTGAGAAAATTTTAGTGACAATTACGTGAGATGATCAGTTTTGCAATGACAAATGACAGAATGAGAACCTGCAAAACTAATTCACGTCGCGTAATTCAGGAAAGTAAACCTGTTATTTCTCACTCTGTTATTTGTCATTGCAAAAGTAATCATTCCACATAATTGGCACCAAACTTTTCTCAAACTACAAACTTCAAGCTTTATTTTCTTTTGGGACATATTGGTGTAAACATACGTGTAGTCTTATTAGGTAAAGACATTTTCGAGATTTCGAAGTCTCTCATTAAGTATTTTTTTAAACGAAACCACTATGAACTATTTTACATAAATCGATCTCTCGTAATATATAGCGTAAAAAATTATTAGAAGTTAAATAATTGAAAAATGAATTGTTTATACAAGATGCTTTATCTTGACACAGTTTAACAAAAAATGTGAAATATTTTAATCGTAACATACTGGTAATATACTTATTTTCGTTAATTTTACCTTAATAATTTTCTGCACAGAATAATGAGATAAATCAATTTGTGAAAGAAAATATAGTCTTGCGATTAAAAAATATTTTTAATTTGCAATATGCAACTGCATAATTTTTTTAAATAATTATTTTTTTTTTATACATTTTATGCAGAATATTGCGAGAAATGGATTTATATAAACCAAATAAAATTTTTTAGCAACTCTACCCAAAATTAAAAAGAGTTTAAAAATATTATTTATTGATCTTATTATTTTGATTTTGGGTCTTATATATATATATATATATATATATATACATACATATATGTATGTATGTATGTATATACGCAATACAATTTTTATCTGATGTATTTTTTAAGATACATATTACATATTACATGGTTCCGATATTTCTGAAACACCTGGTATATTTTATGTTCAACAAACATTAATTACATAAGGAATGAGCTATATTAAGAACGAGTTTGCTTTTATGTAAAACATACTATGTGTTTAATGATACGTGACGTATATGACAATCAAGTATGAAAGATAATTTTCCCATTTATATTACAGTTGATTTAGAATCAACTTGAGAGAGTTGTAAAATACACTAATCAAAAGCTTATAATTAAATTAAATTAGGTTTTTGGGATTTATGTATAAATGTGAAATAAAATAAGATAAATATAAAAAATCATAAATATAAAAATTAAGGAGTATATAAAAGTATTCTTATTTTCTTATCATACATAAAAGTGAAAGTTCATTGATAAAATATATTGTAAATAATTGTTTTAAGGAATTACACCTTATACATCTTATGTTACATATATAAATAACGCAATAATAAAACTAATGTTTAAGTAATTAGATTAATACTATAATTCTATAAAAAAAAAGTTTAAACTTACAACAATATTTAACTTTTTCAAAAATAATATTTTTTAAATCTTGGCCGTGACCAAGTAAAATTTGGTGCCTTGTGCACAGATACTTAATCCTAACGAAAAATTTAGTTTCGTTAGGATAACGCACTGTCATCCGCGAGTTGGCTCTTACTGCCTGTCTTATATCTTTAAATTTATATTAATATTTTTTATTTTCATACTTTTAAATAAATATATTTTGTAAATAATTTTATATTTTTTATCTGACTGATTAGAAAGGAAGCTGCGTGTATTTATAACTATCATGTAATATGCTTAGAGAGCTTACATAAGTGTAAGAAAATAATTATATGTAATCGCGCGCGCGCGCGAGTAGTATCTAACACTAATATAAGAAAATAGTATCGATATTATATTTATTATAGAAAATTATAATTATCTTAATTTATAGTTATTTTTGGTGCATTCTATAACATTATTACTACATAAAGAGAGACAAGGGAATTATTAATATTAAACACATATATATTCAAAAGATTATATTGTAGAATTATAAAAATAAATAATAATAATAATAATAACAAAATATTTTTTTAATTAAAGAAAATTTATATTAATAAAATGTTAATAATAATAATGTGTTTATAGTTAGATTCACACACACACACACACACACACAATTTATAGTTTGAATCACAAAATGTGGAAAAATTATCATATATGTATTTATCCGGAACACAATATATGAACAAATATTTAGTTTTGCGAACGCATTTGTTGCTTGACTTAATAGAATATCAGAATAAACAGCAATTCTTATTTTTTTTCTAATCAGTTTTACTCTTCTTGCATTTTACAAGAAAGTAACTTTTATATCGTCACTTAAATTATTTTTGTTTGACATCTTACGTGTTTAGTCTAGTTTATCTTAAGCAAATAGAAGTGTGAAAAAGGTATATTTCTATTTACCACTTACTTGATACTACCACAACTTCGCGCAACGTCGTTGAGATTAATTCAAGTAGTGTTGCGGATAATAGAATACTCAGTACTCGCGTGGACACCACACAAGTGCAACCAGTGAACAGACGTGCATCATCGATGATGAAATAGTTCTTTTCGCGAGTATACGATTAAATACAGAATCAAGTCAGTATTATTATCGTATAAATAAATAAGTGAAGTTTCGTCTTCTCAAATCATTAGTAAGGAATTGCAGCTCGTGTTCTAAAAAGACTGGTACGTTTTTTCACATTTCGGCAATTATGTACTAATATAACATCTTATTCTATATTCTGTATAATGCAATTTATCATCAATATGTGTTTAATTCTATATTAAATATTTTTGACACATACACATTTATTTTAATTTTTATAGACAAAATATCTATTCATTTTTGTAAAATAAATCTTGTAACTTGTAACTTAAATACCTTTTTATTTTGTTATTCTATTTTAATATAAATATAATAATTATTCTATATAATAGATATAACAAATTGATATAGGAAGAATGCATTTAAAAAATTTTCTCAAAAATTATTTTAACAGTTCGATAATACACTTCAGTATAAATTTTTTATAAGAAAAGGGAAAAATAAATTTCTCTTATAAATAACTATTAATATTTTTAAATATTTCTAATTTTAAATTTAGAAATTGTATGCGTGATTTGTGTTGCAATGGATTGTCTCGGCTGGTTGGCAGCCAAGTATGTAATTGAATATACAGGGTGTCGCATTGTAAAATTTACAGTTGATGAAACATTTACTTTAAAATATTTTCATGAAAATGTTTCATATAAAAGTAGTAAGGTTTCGAGAAGAGCATAATATCGTGATCTTCTAAATTACTTATAGGTTTTTCAAAATAATTTAGAAATTAACACACGAAATCTAAATAAAATCATATTTCCATAAAAAAATGTATTAATTATATTAATTATATTATAAAGAAATAATATATTAAATATTAAATATAATGTAAATAAATTAATATAATCT